TGGCCTGGGAAAGCAGACGAGGACGGCCCAAAGCCTTGGGACCCTGCACCCGTGTGAGAGACCCGGAAGAAGTTCCTGGCTCCTGGCTTCAGGTGGGCTCAGCTCCAGCCATTATGGTCACTTGGGGAGTAAACCATTGGACGGAATATCTTCCTCTCTATCTCTACTCTTCTCTGTATATCTGCCTTTCCAATAAAAATAAATAAATCTTTTTAAAAAGAAGACCTGACCCAGACTCTCTGCTAATGGCCTAAAATGCCTCAAGATGTGAGTCCCTGCTACCCACATGAGAGGCTGATGAAGCTCTGGTTCCTGGCACTGCCCTAGCCTAGCACCCCTGGTCATTGTGGCTATCTGGGGAATGAATCAGCAAACAAAAAGATCTCTCCTGTCCTAATTAGTTACTGGTGAATTTTCTCCCAATCATGTTGCTGAAGTTCACAAGCAGGCAGACAGTATGACTCTGCTCAGCCCTCACGTCAGATGCTGGGACTCCAGCCTCCACAGCGCAGAGTCAGCATGAGAAAGGAGGCAACCAGCACGTCCAGCCAGCACACACCACAGGTAAAGCACATCTTAACAAAGAGGCAGCAAGGTGAAAGCCGACAAGCTCGCAGGAGCTGCTTCATCCCAAGAAAACAAGCACAATGTGCACAGAAATGGGATCTCAATCAGAGACTAGAAGGGGAGGAGGTGGTACTGAAAACACATCCCTGATGTAGCTTTATACCTGTAGAACAAAATATCCTATTGGCTCAATGCAGGCAAGGCTCAACACAAGAGGTGACCAGTGGCTTCTTCATTTTCAAGATTTAGTTTATTTAAAAGGCAAAGTTACAGAAGAGGGAGACAGATCACATCTATCCATTGGTTTATTCCTCAAATGGCTGCAATGTCAGGGCTTGGCCAGGCTGAAGCCAGGGGCGTGGAAGTCCACTGGGGTCTCCCCTGTCAGAGAAAGGTGGCCAGGAAATTGGATAAATACCCACTGCTTTCCCAGGCTCACCAGCAGGGAGCCGGATCAGAAGTGCAGCAACCAACACTGGAACTGGCGCTGCACAACACTGGCCTCAGTGGGTTCCTCTGATGATGGGGTTAAGGTAGAATGAGATAGCCAGCCTTGTAACACCCATACCAGCCTTGCAGGATCCAGCCTAGATATCAACTGTACACTTACTACCTGCCCCCATCTCCCGTCCTCTCCTCAAAAAGTTTTAGTGGGGCCATAGCACAGAGGGTGGTGGGCGCCTGGGATACTAGCATCCCATATGAGCACTGGCTTACAGTCAGAGGCTGCTTTACCCTGGCCCAACTCGCAGCAAGGTCCAGTTACCCAGCTGGGAAATCAGGATGGCTTTCTTGGCTTCCAGCTTCAGCCTGGCCTAGCCTGGTTGGAAGGCCAGGATGAGAGACCTTCAGTGTCTCTCTAGTACTCTTCCAAATAAATGAAAAGTATTAATTTATGTGGCAGGCTTGTGGCTCAGTGTGTTAAGCCACAACAATATTGCATAGCAAGAGTGCAAGCTCCAGTACTAATTACCCTGCTTTAGATCCAGTGTCCTGCTAATGCTTCCCTGGAGGCAGTGGACAACAATCCACCCAGTGGACAATGATCCACGTACCTGGGTCACTGCCACCTGTGTAGAAGAACCAAATGGAGTTCTAGACTCCTGGCTTCGGCCTGGACCAGCCTTGGCTGTTGCAGGCTTTGTGGGGAGTGAACTGGTAGACAGAATATCTCTGTCAAATAAATAAATCTCTGAAAAAATAAAGTTAAAATGGACATCTGAATACACCGTCTATCAAAGTGAGAGAGGAGTTAGAGTGGGTAGTAGGCAGTTAGGGTATTCTGGGTCCCCAAGTAAAAGAGAATTTCCCCACCATGTCTTGAACTCACCAGAGCACATCTCTTCCAAGGGATGGGGTGCTGTTAGCATATCAATTCCCCACCTGAAGTATCGGCCATTACCTCTGGCCACTGTGGGAAGGCCTCAGGCCGATCTCTTTATCATTAAAAGGAGAGCAGGAAGAAGTAATACACATCTGCCCAAGGCCTGGAATGTCCTATGTCTGGCACCTCTGTGGCCTTTTGTCCCAAGGCCAGGTACCATGGAAACCAGGAATTTTCTTTGTTCATGGAGAAACATCTTTGAGGGAAACCTTTAAAAGGTGCATTCCCCACCATTCATTCGGGTTTTGCTTATTCTTCTCCTGCCACTATGGCAGAGGACTAGGGTTTTGCTTCTTGTCCTCCTGACACTATGGCAGGAGGCAAGGGTCTTTTCTATCTCAAAACCCCCTCCCGTCGCTAGGACGGGAGTCTTCTTTTCTCAACTTTTCTAATAAATCTTGCTTTAAAACTAAACTGTGTCCGCATGAAAATTCTTCTTTCCTGCGAGACAAGAATTTGAGGTTGCTGCCATACTCGGAGTCAAAAATCCTGCAACAAAAGGACATTGACTGCAGGCTACAATGGGGCCAACAAGCGCTCACCAAGTGAGTGGAAGTCCTGCCACTGACCACATGCTCAGGTAGAAACCAGCCAAATGGTGACACACTGCTCCTTCCCTAGCCACGGAGACCCACTGATGCAGGACATACCACTGCAACTACAGAGGGTCAGCTGAATGCCTCTGACATCATGCCAGAATGGGGCCAGTGTCATTGCCTAGTGGGCAAGTCTACTGTCTGTAATGTGGCATCCCATATGGATATGTGCCATTCCAGTCTTAGCTGTTTGCAAAATAATGTTTTGTTTTTCCTGAGTTTTGTTTTACAAGAGTAATTTCAGGGCCCAGCGGTGTGGCCTAGTGGCTAAAGTCCTCGCCTTGAATGTGCCAGGATCCCATATGGGCGCAGGTTCTAACCCCAGCAGCTCTACTTCCCATCCACCTCCCTGATTGTGGCCTGGGAAAGCAGTGGAGGATGGCCCAAAGCCTTGGGACTCTGTACCCATGTGAGAGACCCAGAAGAAGTTCCTGGCTCCTAGCTTCGGATCAGCTCAGCTCCGGCCATTGCAGTCAATTGGGGAGTGAATCATTGAACGGAATATCTTCCTCTCTATCTCTCCTCTTCTCTATATATCTGCCTTTCCAATAAAAATAAATAAATCTTTTAAAAAAAAAAAAGTGAGGGCAGTGAGAGGGAATAAACACAGAATGATCCTGGCCAGGAGTTGCACATCACAAAACATGATGAATACCTACTCCTTTTATTATGCGGCAGGCTAATAAGCAAAAGCATAATTTAAAATACAACCACACAAAAGCAATTATCGGCTTACTCCCTTTCATACAAAACTGTGTTCAATTTATTTCCCAGGAAGATGATCCCACAACACAAAATAACTTCACTTGGGAAAACATCCCTCCACACCCCCCCCCAACACAATGCATCCTCCAGATAAGCCAAACAATGGAAAATTTTCACCTCAGTGAGCTGGCCTCAGGGAGGCTCTGGCTCATCCCTGTTGCCTAGATACCGGTGTGACATCTCTGGAGCTCACAGAAAGCTACTGCACTGGTCGTCACGGCTGCTGCCGCCCGGTGTGGCTCACTGCCCACACACACAGCACTGTACTACTCTGTCACTCAACCCAGCATCAAGCCTTTCACATCCGCCACTCCGGCCTCTACAATGACATCAGCTCTAGTGCGGATTCTCATCCTTATGGTTTTTTTACAATGTCCCTGAATTCTACTCGAATGTCACAAAGCAGGTAAATCTACAGGAAGGACAGTTACTTCTTCAACTTATTTTTTTTTCTTCCTCAACCCCCCCCCGCCATAAAAACCAGTATGTGATTTAATCACCTAGTACAGTCAAATTCCGTAACATTCATGTTGTAATTTCTAATTCTGACAGTGGTGACCTTTAAACAACACGTTCAAACTTCCCTTTAAATATTTAATACCAAGTTACAAGATGCAATTACACAAACCCTGCAGCAATAACTCAGGTAAATAAGCATCTTAGGTTCACTTAAAATGTTATCCTGCTAAAAATGCAAACACAGCATTTTAAATCCCATCAACAAAATTACTGTGGTTCTATCCTTTGTGGAAAAAAAACAGATATATACACTAAATAACAAATGGTATCTGCAGCATTTTTGTTACCAAGCCTCAAATGTTGCTATACATTCTCACAGCTTATCTTTTTTATTGTATGTATATTCATAGAATGTAACACAATGTGGAAAACCAAGCAGGCACTAGTTCCAACTCAGCGGCTATTAAGAGCAGTACATGGTACCCTCATCTACATGATCTCCATCTTTAGTGTAGCTTTCTTGATACCCCAGACCCAGCAAAACCCTAAAATGAAACAAGCCATTAGCATGAAAAACACAAAAACAAATGTGAAAACTCCATTCAAGGTGGAAATGTCACCAAGAAGCAGGCCTTCTCTGGGCTACTTTAAGAAGCTGATTCGGTAATAATGTTAGGTGTGCAGTCTGCCCATCTAACACCAGCCGATGGGTCTGACTGGCATGAATCAACACCCAAAATGGCTGCACCCTGGCTGGCCCCAGGTAACAATCCCTGAGGCTTTGACCCCTCAACCCCAAGAGCCAGGCAGAGACAGCCCTCCTCCACCAATAACCCGGGACAGGGTGACAATCGGCGACCAGGGCAGACCCTTCGGTGACACTGGGCACAAGGACCTGACCACGACCCTGGGAAACACTGTCTACGGGGGAAACCTTGCTCCTCTCTCCAAAAGACGGGAGACCCCTTGCATGTTGAGACGGGGCCCTCCTCCCAAAACCGACGCAGGTCGTCCCTCCTCCCTTCAGATTCAAGGACAGTTCCCAGCTCCACACAGACGCAGGGGGCGAGGCAGCCCGCCCCCACGGGGACCGCGGGAGACCCCCACCCCAAAGAGGACGGCGACACCCTGCGAGGACTGGAGACCCCGCCCCCCAGCAACCCGGAAAAACCCTTCCCCAGAGCTTCTGGAACTGCAGGGCCAGGGAAGCGCGACGAAGCAGGCGTTACCTGCGGCCTCAGCCCAGTCCCGCGGCGTTTCCGTCCTATTGTTTCTCTCCCATCAAAATGGCTGCTGCCGCGCCGCGCCCCGCCCCCTGCGCTTCGCTCCCGACGCCCCTCGCTATTGGCTCGCGCTGGGGGCTGCGCAAGCGGACTGGCGGGTCTGAAAGGCGCCTAGGGCGCCGGGATTCGCGCAGCGACTTCCGGAAAGGGCGGGGCCACTAAGGGGGTGGGGCTTAGAGGGAAGTCTAGAGGACAGGTGAATCAGGGTTAGCGTGGGCAGTAACCTGGCTCGGATCCCATCAATAGATTGTAGGGTGGCTCAACCGATCTTCTGGTTTTCCCATGACTTAGGGGTCGTCAAATTGCGGGGATTTCAGTGATAGCACCAGAGAAACGGGAAATAGATGGCTCTAGCGGATGGATGGACAGAAGACTGGACATGAATGCACGGAAGTACAGAGCTTCCGACCTGAACCCTGCTCTGTCTGTACCAGTGGCCAGAGCTGCAGCCTTATGTCCCGGGCATTGGCAAGGGTGTGTATGCTTTAATTCAGTACGTATTCATTAAGCACCTAACTTTGGGTGCTAGGAGCAGGAGAGGATGGGAGTGGCAGAGGAGGATATCTCTCTGGAAGGATTGTTACTAAGTAGAATATGCCAGTGGAACTGCAGCTTTTTTTTTTTTTTTTTTTTAAGATTTATTTGAGTCTGGTGTACTGGCGGCTAATCCTCCTCCTGTAAGTACCAAGATCCCATATGGGTACCAGTTAATGTCCTGGCTGCTCCACTTCCCACCCAGCTCCCTGCTTGTGGCCTGGGAAAGCAGTCAAGGACGGCCCAAAGCCTTGGGACCCTGCACCTGTGTGGGAGACCAGGAAGAAGCTCCTGTCCCCTGGCTTCGGATTGGCTCAGCTCCAGCCGTTGCGGCCCCTTGGGGAGTGAACCATTGGATGGAAGATCTTTCTTTCCATCTCTCCTCCTCTCTTTATATCCATCTTTCCAATAAAAATAAATAAATCTTTTAAAAAGAGATTTATTTCTTTATTGCAAAGTCAGATATAAGAGAGGAGAGAAAGTGAAGAAGATCTTCCATCTGATAATTCACTCCCCAAGTGATGGCAATGGCCAGTGCTGCGCCGATCCAAAGCCAGAAGCCAGGAACCTCCTCTAGGTCTCCCACACAGGTGCAGGGTCCCAAGGCTTTGGGTCATCCTCAACTGCTTTCCCAGGCCACAAGCAGGGAGCTGGATGGGAAGTGGAGCTGCCGGGATTAGAACCGGCACCCTTATATGGGATCCCGGTGCATTCAAGGTGAGGACTTTAACCACTAGGCCACTGCACTGGACCCTCAAATGTCTTTTTAACAGATTGTTTGTCTTCCTATTATATGGTATTACCTGGCACCTCCAGCAGTGAGTCACGAATCACCATTTTGTCCATGGATGTATTCAGAGCATCTGAAACACCCAGTAAACTCCAGGAATGCCTGTTGATGAAATAGAAAGAATACCTCCTGGTGTTGAATGGGAGGCATTGTGGAGAAGAACAAAATGGGGCAGCAGGAGGATGGAGAAAGGTGAGAAACCCCAGGTCAGGTAAGCTTGGTCAGGCCTGGAAGGCATCCCCTCATCCCCTGCCCCCCAATTGTACTGCTGAGACTCCTGGCCCAGCTCTGCAGTTCTTCCCCTGCCTGTGGCTTCAGGACCCACACCTCTGAATCAAGCCTGCCAGTCAGAGCCTTGCAGACAGGCCAGTGATCGACCTTCCTCCAATAATCCAATCTCATTCTGTTGCTCCTGTGTTGATAGTCGGAGGCTGGATAAGGCAGTGTCTCCCTCTGGGAGCCCTATATTAATTCACTCTTGTACTCCTTGCATTGGTCATACTAAGGGGATGACCTGGACTAGACACGGGGATTTGGTGAAAATGGAAACAGCAACAATGTAACCAATTCATGAGATTTCTGGTTTCCACTATTAGGGGCAAGGGCTGGATACCACAGCCAGCAAAAGAACAAATAATGTAATTATGAGCAAAGGAAGCTAAAATGAAGCAAAGGAACTCAGCTGATATGCAGAGTGTGATATTTGCATCCCACACAGCAAAGCCTGCTGAGAATAGGATTCCTGAAGACCCAGGGCTGGGAACGGGCCTAGCAAGGGAACCTTTGCGACTCCCCTGCTGGGCTGCTGCCTCCACTGGTGAGCATGAGAACTGAGGCTGTTGGTGGGCCAGTCCAAAGTTATAGCACCCATCAGTCAGCATTTGGGTGGGATCTGGCAGTGGGCCATGCTGGGCTAGGCTACCACACCTGCTGGTAAAACAGAAAGCCAGAATGGGTGCAGCTGGGTTGGGCCACAGCGACAGCTAGCAAGTGCTGATACTGAGTGCAAATCATGTCAGACTGGACTGCAGTACCTTCCAGCGGGTGCAAGATCCAGGGTTGGCAGTGGGCTTGATAGGCAAACTGTGGGCACTCCTCTGCTAGGCTGCAGCTCCTACTGCTGAACATGAGAGCCAGGGCTGGGGGTCGGCTGGGTTGGTCATGGTAGCAGCACTGGTCTGCTTATATGTGCGCCAGCTCTCAGGGTGGATTGAGGTGAGCTAAGCTGCAGCACCCATGTGTACGCATGAGAGCCAGACAGGAAGTAGGATGTATCAGGCTAGGCTACAGCACATACTGGCACATGCAAAAACTGGGGCTATGGGCAAGCCTGGTGGGGATTATTGGGGTTCATCCTGAATAAGCAATGACATCTGATGGTGTACGTGAAAACCTTGCCTGTGGCAGGCTGAGTTGGGCTAGACCACAGCTGTCATGTAAGAGATGGGGCTAGGGCCTGAACGGGCAGCTGCATCTACCAGTTATAGTATGTGCATTGGCTGGTGCAGGTAATGGAACAAACCTGAGTCCACGCTACCTGGAGCACACAAGAGTTAAGTCTGATGTCAGGTGAGTTTCTTGGGGGAAACCCCAACTGGATCTCTGGACTCAAATCCTGGCCACAGGGAAATTATAAAATATGTGGTCTGACCTTGGAGTACATGTATTGGGACTGGGTTTCCTCAGTTGCTGATGCCTGTGCAGGGGACAGCATGCCCAGATGCACGTAGAGCACAGAGAGGATATGACAGCCAGCTAATCTAGACTAGTGGAGGTTGTTGAGTGCCTCAACAGAGTATGAAAAGCCCAGAACAGGATACACAACTCTCCTGGCCAAGCTTTGCAACATGTTCCTGAGTCTGTGGATGTACCGGAATTAACTTGGTCCATCAATAGACCTTGGAAAGATTTTTCTCAACCCTGGCACAACAAAGCCATTGTAATGTCTGAGACATTGTAATGTCTGAGAACTATCAAGACGACTCAAGTGACACCCTCAGAACATTCTTCCCCACACTGGGGTCTCTAAGGTGGCATGGTTGTCTACTCATCCCCTGATGTTGATGTCATTTGACAGCAATGAGTGGTCCCTTTTTCTTCTACCCCAGCAGAATAAAACAAAAGAACTGAAAAAAAAAAAAGAACGGAAACATTTGTCCCACCTTCCTCTGTATCTGTATCTCAACCCTCTGCACACTTTTCAGAGTCCCATCTGGGCATGCATTTCTCTCAACTATGTAAACAATATTAAAGTGAAAATTAAAAAATAGAGGACTCCTGAGGTAGGATTAACCCCCAGGCACTGGCTGCATAGGGAAAGTTCTAGGGGAAGCCATTCCTAAAAGGAAGTGTAAGTGCAGAGATCTTGAGGAAAGATCTTAAAGAAATAGAAGCAGGCTCTTGGGTCTAACAGAAGAATATCCCAGAGCTCAAGAGAAAGATCCACAGGGTAAGTCTAACCATCCTGACATGGCAACCAACAGAGTTCCAGAAGGAGCAAAAGACATCAACTGACCAATCACAAAGCATATGTGCATGTCATAAAGAAATACTAGGATCCCAGCGCAGTAGCCTAGCGGCTAAAGTCCTTGTCTTGAACACACCAGGATCCCATATGGATGCTGATTCTAATCCCAGCTGTTCCACTTCCCATCCAGCTCCCTGCTTGTGGCCTGGGAAAGCAGTTGAGGATGGACGGCCCAAAGCCTTGGGACCCTGCACCTGTGTGGGAGACCCAGAAGAGCTCCTGGCTCCTGGCTTTGGATTGGCTCAGCTCCAGCCGTTGCAGTCACTTAGGGAGTGAATCATTGGATGGAAGGTCTTCCTTTCTGTCTCTCCTCCTCTCTGTATATCTGACTTTGCAATAAAAAATAAATCTTTAAAAAATGAAACACTAACTACAGATGAACCCAGGGAGAAGGAGACCTTCACACAATCTCCTAGAGAGAGAAAAAGGTTATATTCTCTGATTTAAGGTTGGCCTTAACCTCCCCCGTGACACAGGCCCACCATCTGCCCACCTGTGCCTAACCCAGGCATAGGCATCATGACTGCAGAGGAACAGTAACCACTAATGAAATGGGGAGAAAAAAGCAGAATTCCCAAATTACCAAGGGGAAAAATTAAATGAATGACAGTTTAATCAAAGGAGAGAGAAAGAAAGAGGAAAATAGTAGGCTGGCTCCATGAAATTGCAATATTCATCTATTTTGACGTACCAAAACAGTAATTTCATATAGGTCAATTGAATGAAAAGAAAAAACCACAAAGTAAAAATACAAAACACATAAAGTAAATATGGAATGAGCAAAACATCTTTATCACAGTAAACAAGGACACGATGAACTCCCTTTAAAAACCTAGAGAATATGTTTAAAGACTAAACCTGGCCACATACTGTTTATGACACTTGAGACTACAAGAAAAGCAAAAGGCTGAAAAAAAAGGAGTAGGCAGAGAGAGACGAGGCCAGCACAGCTCCAGCAGACAGCAGTGGTCACACAGAATCAGGGAGGAGGGATTTAAGGAACATCTAACAAAGAAAGGGACAATACCTTGACAAACACATAAAATAGTAAGATTATAAGCTGATATACACAAGATACTAAACCAACATTTTAAAATATTTATTTACCTGACTGAGAGGCAGAGAGAACAAACTTCCAGTTTTGGTTCATCGCCCAAATGCCTAGAAGGGTGG